ATTATGAAATAGAAAGAGGACTAGTTGCTTTTAGTTTTGTTTTGAAATTGCATTGTGCTAAAAATGTAAGGGACTCGTTTAATCTGCAAACACAGCCAACATTATTTTATGCATGGAACACTAATAATGATTTAGAAAAGAGAAAATGTTTATAACTCGTGCACGTACCTCGGCCCCAACGGGTATGGGTAATACCCACTCTCTCTTGTGGGTACCCGACTCGTATACCCAATGTACGTTTATGCATGCATTAGCATTAATTGTGCTTTGTTGTATTAGTTGGTTTGGTTTGAATGGTTCATGATTTTCAATGTGTTTTTTAGTTGCTGCTGCATAATATTTGCAAGGCTCGACTGCACACTGGAATTTCATTTGTGAAAACAGTCGGATAGGAGAGAAAATCCGAGACTCGATCATATCTTATAACAGAAAAAAATGGAACAAAATAAAGAATCTGTAACAAGCTTTAAATTTACATGAACGGTGTGCAATGTCAAATTACAGCAGTTATCCTGATTTTCCTTTTTCTTTCGAACGGATGCTAGAATTGCATACAGAAACTGCAGATAGCATGAACTGATTCAGCAATTGCAAAACTTTCTATTACATACGAAAGAATCTTTGAGGCTGGCTATATCACTACTCTTTTAAAGGTTGTTCAAACATGAACTTCTCACAACCTCCTACATCAGGCTCACTTTCCTTCAGGTGGAATCACTTGCAAAAGCTCCAAATTTAGCTCGAATGTCGCTCCAGGCTGCGGAATGGTGTGACAGAAGTAAGAAAGAATATTCAATCCAATCCACGTAATATATTAGAAACTAACAATGCCACTGCAGTACAAATATGCAAAGCATTCTAAAAAAGAAGAAAACAAATGATGTTTAAAGTGCTTACAGGGATCTCATTCATGCCCTTTAGACCGTACCCAGCCTCAGGAGGAACAATCACAGTTCGCTGCAAGGATATCAGAAATTGATTATGGAAAAGCTTCAAAGTTCAAAGGTGAGAAAGGAAGGAAAAGAAATGGGTAATACCGACACATCAATGGAGATGTTCGATATAATAATAAATAGGAATGTAGCATATATGTATTTAAGCATAAAAGGAGGATGCCATCACCTTCCCCCCTACTTTCATCCCCTCAGTTACCGAGTACATTGCTTGAGGGGGTTTTGGTGCAGCTTGTGCAGAAAATAGACCATTTGCATTGTCCACAAACTCACGCTTTCGTTCTTTCCCAGGAGGAGCTCCGACCTTGAACACGTATGGCTAGTAGAAAACAAGGAATTGTGCATTGGGAATTCATTCATGGATTAAAGAGTTGAGCCTCAAATGACTATTGGTTTGGATCAAAAAAGGGGCTGTGCAGAAGCTCTCAACACACCCACAAAAGTAAAGTTGAGAACCTGGGCAATACTACGATTTCCAGCCAAGAGTTTAGATTCCCTGCTTGATACAGCCGTAATCCCACGATATAAACAGTCAAAGTGAACCTGTGAAGTATTTGCAAATCAAAAACAGAGGCGAGAACATATCCAAAGACTGAAAGGCATGATAACAAACATCATTTTCCTTAAACTAGAATTCTATTTATACCTCAACCGTTGATCCTTTCTCAGCTACCGGACCCTTTCCCTCAACCAAATCATAATATTTCAATCCCTCAGCTGCTGAGGTAACAAGAAAGCAATAGGGGTTAAATTCAAATGCTAATTACACGTAGAACACAAAGTTATGCACCATTTGGACAGAGGAATTTCAAAGAAAGGATTTGGATAGAAAACGATTAGATTGAATGTATTTGAAATAATTCGGCATAGAACATTTGAAATGACTATTTGCAAGTAATCAGTTGAAATCCATTTGTTATCTTCCCTTCCTTCTTGTCCAAATCTAGGTATACATGGATTGCAACAGTCTAAACAGACAATTTTACCTAATACTATCATCTAAGTTCCACATGGACACAACAAAATAAGAAGAACTGAATCAAAACGAAAATCAAGAGTCACACAAGTTTTGAACTTATTTAACTTTTAAATCACAAGAAATAGAAGCAACCCCACACCACATGCATAGGCAATTAGTAGACTTGAGAGATAAATTAATTAAGAAGAGAGAAAGGGTTAGAGTAAGTAATTACAGGTAGTGCGGTAGTCTTCAAGAGGAATGACTTTCCTGTTGCGTCTCTCTCTGGCCTCCGAAGGCGGAGACGCTGAAATGAGGCTCAGAGGCAGCCAAGTGATCAGAATCGCACATCTTCTTGAAATCAATGAGGAAATGGGAACTGAAACTCGAACCACTTGCTCTGCCTTGTCTACTACTTGGCTTGTGCTTTTGCTGGGTTTTGAACTTGAACTTGAACTGAACCATGGATGATGATGATGACGGTGATTAACGGTCAAGCACCTTATTGATGCCATGGCCGTTGGAATAACAGAGAGGCCAGATTTTTAAAGCGACCTGTAATACCATATCCCTATCCACTTCCTATTTTTCTAAAATTACCATAATACCCATACTTTCTTCACCACCACTTTAGTATTGGGTTATGACATAAGGGAAATTCTCCTATAAATATTTTATGTTAAGAATTACTTACATAAGTTAATTTCAGCCATTAGATTGCTTGTATGCAGCATATTAAATGGCAAAAAGTCACTATTAAATTACATGTGTGCTGCATATTCCGCTATGGATGAGAATTCCCAGTTGAAAGCCATTGAATAATCCATCTCTTTTTTATTATCAATGTCTCAGTCTTTGGAGTTTGGAGTTTGGAGTGGGATTTTAATACTCATTCTGGCTTAGAGTTAGATACATCTTGGGACTTAAAAGAAGGAATGATCAGTGAAGTCCGTGATCAAGGATAAATACCGCCCATACTAATTGGTCAAGCATGCTTCAGGTCATGTGAGTTCTTCTTAAGATCAAGTGGGGGTGGTTCATTCCTATAAATAGGAGGACTTCATTCTAAATGGCAAAAAGTCACTATTGAATTGCATGTGTGCTGCATATTCCGCTATGGATGAGAATTCCCAGTTGAAAGCCATTGAATAATCCATCTATTTTTTATTATCAATGTCTCAGTCTTTGGAGTTTGGAGTTTGGAGTTGGATTTTAATACTCATTCTGGCTTAGAGTTAGATAGATCTTGGGACTTAAAAGAAGGAATGATCAGTGAAGTCCGTGATCAAGGATAAATACTAGGGGTGGCAATTTCCGACTCGACCCGTTACACGACTCGAAACCCGCACGGGAAAAACACGACCCGAACACGGCACGATTATACATGGGTAATTTTCGGGTTAACTCGCGGTTGATCCGTTTATAAACAGGTGGGTTTCGGGTCAACCCGCCAACCCGCTTAAATACCTGTTTAACCCGTTTATTAAACGGGTCGTGTCATGGGTCGTGTCAACCCGTTTAATACCTGCTAACCCGCGAAAAAAATTAAAGAAATTGAAGCTTCAGCACACCCAATGGGTTTCGAACCCCAGCCAATTCCACCTCTCCTTGCACCTTATCCATCTTGGTGCTGATAACTTTGTGATTATATGTTACAACATTTGATATTTATAATGTCTTTACAAACTGATGAGCACTTAATTATTACCTTTTAATCCCTAAATTATATTTGTTAGTAATTATTCCTTATAATTTGAGTTAATTATGTATCTAGGGTTTAGGTTTTAATGTTTTAATCCCTAAACCCTAGTCCCTAAACTCTAATCCCTAAACCTAAAACCTAAACCATAAACTCCAAACTCTAAACCCTAAACTCTAAACTCTAAACCCTAAATCCTAAACCCTCAAGGACATGTAACACATCCTTTTGTGAACATTGCAAACGAAATAATCAAGGACATGTTACTAGTGAGGATATTTAATAATTTCATTACTCTATTAGCTTAGCAAAAAGTTGCACATCGACCCACGTGGGGTCTGAAGAAGGATTGTCACCATTAATGGCGACTTGACCTTTTTCTCACCCAACAAGAAAAGCGACATGGATAATAGCCATAAGGACAGAAAGGAGCCGATCACCAACTGGATTTCCAGATATAAAGGACTCAAGTCAGAAAAAACATCTCGTATAACTAGCAGTTTTGTTAGAGGCATTTCGTCCTCTCACATATAAACCGGTCCAAGAAGAAAGATCAACAGCTGACTTCAGATAGCAGCCAAATATCCTCTTTTAGCTTTCATCATTGAGAATTCTTGCCTATAAATATAGAGCCTATGTAACAGCAGAAGGGGACTCTCTCAATATAGAGCCTTTGTAACAGCAGAAGGGGACTCTCTCTCCAAAAACCAGACGCAACATCTCGAAAATACTTGAAAAACTCAAGATCTTTCCAAACAAGCTTACTTGATATTCAAATAACCAGTTGACAACTCCTGTGTTTATCTTTTGTTGCTCTACCATCCTCATGGTATGCTTTCTTTTAAACGATCAGTTTGAATTTATGCATTACTCGAACTGGATAGAGAAATCTCAAGTATTCCTTATATTGTAATAGTTGTTTTGAATTAGTTAAATGGATAAATCTATGACTCTTGTCTTTCTTTGCTATCAAGCTAAAATCAGATAAAGAGATCTTGAAATTTGTCTTGGCTATTTCATCAAATATCTGCTATTTTACTGTTTTTATTTACATATATATATCTATAGAATAGTTTAATTTCCCGCCTTTATATATTATTCAAGCCTACCATTCGGACCCAAAACAGAGGTCTAAGCCCGAATATGGCCCCATTAGTTCGAAAGTAAAGATTAATACAGGCCCGAACTATACCCTTGGGCTCAAATTGATTAGAACCTTGACCCAATCTAGGGTCTTATCAGGTTTGAGTTAGGTTTCTGAACCCAAATAGGGTACCACTAACCACGACCCTGGTTTCCCTCTTGTTTGGTCAGGTATCGCTCGTATCTATCAAACTGACACGCACAAATGAAAGAATATTGAAGTCCTCTTGATTGAGGTATAGAAAAGAACTTATCCAGGCTAGTACCCCCCTTGGAGCACAATGGCTTGAGCAGAAGTCCAGAATAAGCGCAAATACAACAAATCAACATCCTGCACCACATATACCAGATCTATTGGGCTGGTCTCATACCCAATAGTGGCACGCCTACGCAATTCATGATCAGAACAAAAGGAACAAGTTGTTAGGGCCTAGCCTGAGCTCGCCTGTTCTTGTCAACCTGATTCAACTTTCAATTTTGTTCAGAAGTTGAAAGAATCTTCCTCGCATGCCAGAAATCCAATCGGAGCATTGGTGTTGATCCAACGGCCTTCCCACTCTCCAGAGTAGCTCGATCCAGAGTAACCACAAAAAGAGTATTGGCGGGAAAAAGGACCAACAAGAACACTATGAATAAAATGGTAACCGATAATTCAGATGAGCTAAATTTAGAAGGTGCTTGCTTGTGTCTTCAACTCTAAATTTAAACCAAATGAATCCACCATGTAGCTGATATTGGTTTCATAACAAAACTGCAAAGAAATAATATATAATATTACATACAAAGAAGGGATCTAGACTATTCGCCACATAAATTGGAGCCCATATTTATCAGGAACTCAAGATGTGTTCTGGCCTTGTAGAAGATTAGGTTCATGTTAATAATTTGGTCAATTTGCAAAATGTCACAACCAATGGTGCATGCATGGCCTTTCTGGAGCCTCAACAATATTGTCAATATTTTTCTCCCACATTCAGCGCCACGATCTCACCATAATCTCATGGTCCTCCTGTTAGGAGGTCATTCGTGTTGCCTTGAATATCTACACTGGCCAAGATGTTTGCCGTCTGTTCAGGAGTTGATGGACCTTTTTCCATTTCAGCCTTTGGTGGAGCCTTTGTTACGGAATCGACACTGGGTTTAGCTGCCGGTTTCCCGTCAGTCTTCTTCTTTGCAGCATTCTTTTGCCATATCTTTAAAGCTTTGTTAGTTTGTTCATCAAAGATTGACTTCTTCATTGTTGATCCCATCTATGATTTCCCAATAACAGAAAAAACAGTCGTTTTATATGGACAAAAAATCAAGATGAAACAAAAACAAAAAAAGATACATAGAGGAGTGATTAGTGAGTTGTACCTGCGTAACCAATGCATATAGGGGAAGAGTGATGTAGCTGCACATAACTTGTACGCATACCCTGCTCAAATCACATTCACTATTCAGTAATTTGGAGGGTTCAATCATGTCTCGATCTTTGTTAATTACAAACTCAAATGATTTCTGTCAAAGCACCGTCTAGGAACAAGAAAGAACATGTTCATGATAATGGAAGATGTGTTCTATTGTCAAACTGTGAATCATAGACCATTCATTGATTAAGTTGATTTTGGCCGAATGTGTGCTTCAAATTCACAGTTTGTCACGAGAACATAACTCTTAAGATAATAATATAATCTACTAGAGCAGTACGTAGCCTGAGTTTACGAGAACTTCAGTGGGTTAAAACTCTAATGAGTATTAGAAAAGTTAAAAAAGAGGAAAAAAAGAGAGAAGATATACATACCCAAGTGCAACTCTGAGTACTGTAAGAACGAAATTATCATGGAAACAAGATCTTATCCCAAACTCGTACTGCATTAGGATTCAAGAGAAAACTTTTAAATGTCGAATGCCAAAAGTGACATATACAAATAACCAAAATAAAGAAAGGTGGTTGATCTAATTTTTACCCATATCCAAAAGAAATATGTTATCTCAAATGCATTCTGCAAAAATGAAATGCACAGTTAGGTGGCAGATAATAAACTCAAAATCCTGATCATGGTTTCCACAAATGGATCAAATAAAGGGGCTAATAATATACCTGAAACAGGACAAAATGGATCAAATAAAGAACTAACTGAGGCCAGCTAAACCAAAAATGCTTGTCTGAGACTTGCACCAGAGGTATCCCTTGGACTACAGCATGTCTTTCTTTGATCTCAAGTGCCATTTGAGATATAATTGCTTGCAGCTTTGTTCCAACAGCTAATATTATCTTCAACCAACACAAGCCTCGGTCATTATTTTTTTTCAAACCATTAATTTTTATTAAATTGATTTAAATAATTGTGAGTTAATTCCTAGAACAATTTTTTTTTTTTAAATTACACTTACAACAAGAGGAAGTATGGACAGCACAAACATAGCCTCCCATCCTGAAACAAAAGGCCAAGCAAAAAAGTTATCCGAGGATTAAACCCAACTCTTAAATGGGAATTTGGATCTATATCAAATTTTCTATACAAAAATAAAGGCCAAGAAAAAAAAAGAATTAATGAAACAAAATGAGAAATAACTAGGGAGATTCACTATTATACTCAATATAGGAGCCCAAATTATAAAAAAAACCCTATATGAAATGGACTTTATTAGAAACACACCCAAATCTCATTTACAACAAAACAAAAAAGATTTTAACTTCTTTTAAATTACAAAACTGCCATTGATTTCTTAAAACAAACCCAAACTCAAAACCTTATAAAAAAGCCCAAAACACTCAATAAGACATCAAAGTAATTTAATAATCAAAATTAAATTCAATAAGGCCACCTATCATTTTTTGGGTCTTTTTTGGGTTTGTTTATAGAAATTAAACGGTATAAGGTTTATTTATAGTTTTAATGCTAAGAATGGATATATGACTAAATATCTCAAATAACTAACCATGAACATTGAGAAGCAGGTAGAGAACCATTGAAGTCCACAACAGTGGACTGCCAGCACCATCAAAATACAGAGTTAGAAAAGAGCATTTCCCACAAAATTGATGAAAACAAAATGTTTTAGTATTTTTACCTGATTCCCACAACTACCTTAAAGTCATCTTCTAATGACCTTTTGATATACTTTTGAAAGTCAAACTTACTTCCAGGTGCTAAATGAACCTATATAGATATACATATAAGAACACACTTAAAGTCACTCACATCTTGCTGAAAATACTAATATGAAATGAAGATTGTTTCATGTAATTCTAGAGAAACATACCGTGACGAATCCATGTCGCATGGTCAAGTAGTCGGCCCTGCGGACGGACCTAAAGAATTGTCGAAGAAAGCTTACCTGCCAAAAATAAATTGAATATTCAAGACAATCATAGAGAAAAACTGCATTTGAATGTATAATAGAGGAGAGTTTTCAAGTGAGGATGTCCTCTAATGTGAACATTCTCCTAGAGCTACTCGGCAATGCAGTTCAATGATCGAAACTGTCTATATTTGAGGTCATTCTTGCAAAAAATTAGCCATATTGATAATTGTGTTCGATCATTGGATTGCAAGCACCTCACAGGAAACTAGAAATAGGGAACAGAGGAAATAGTAACATCGTTCTTACAAAATAGAAGGTAAATGGGTTTTTAGTCCAACATCTTGTGTGGTCTCTAACAAATGATGTCTCGTGAGTAAGCCTGAATTTTGTAGGATCTGTTTAAAATACAAAGCTCCAAATTTAGCACTCAACACAGAGACAAGTAACAATCAGTAGCTGTTGCGTTGTCGAATGATTTACCATTGAATTCATTATCATGTTCCATCTCTCGTTCCCACACCTTCCACCCACGAATCTGCACAAATTCAGGAAAAAACAACGCTTCACCAAATTTTTATTTTATTTTAGGGTTTTAGTAATAAAACTCCACCAAAATTCTATAACCTTTGAATTGCAGATGGATATATCAAAACAAAAATATAAATAGTTTAATAGAAAAAAAAGAAAAAAGAAAACATAGACGAACCCACCTTTAATCTTCCAAGTGTCATGGTTATGGCACCGTATACAACGTGAAATATTGCTAAAAAGAATATGAAGATGTGCAATTGATGTAATCCATTTGCAGATATGAGCGGCACTTTTCCCTGCGCATCACAATACATATTCAAATAGTTTTTTTTTTTTCCAAAACTCATGGAGAAAATGAGACAGTAAATAAGAATATACATGCACGTGTTGGTGTATAATAAAATTACCTCCTTGCAGCCTGGACCATCGCTACCAGCGGCTAAATATCTGCGCTCATACCATAAAAGCCGGCGACGATGATCTCCACCACCACCACCTCCTTCTTGATCATCCCCTCTGTATGGGCAAGGCAGCATTGTGTCTGCTGCCTCTATCGGAATACACACTTGAGCGATGTACTTTTGCCCAAATGTTAGCAACAGAGAAATAAATCCCAAAACCATAAGCTCTGCATGCATGCATGCCCAAAACACAACCATGCAAACCAAACAAACCAAAAGCAAAACAAAAAAAATTAATGAGATTATAAACACATATATATTCAAACTCAAAGTATGAAAGAAATGAAAACATAACATTTCTTTCATCGGGTTATTTTGGATTTAGATTCATAGACTGACAACATAAATTAAGCAATAAAACATTATTCTATATTACGTAATACTATTTGGCGTTTTCTACATATACTTACCTCCTTTCACTTTCTCAAGAGCTTCAAGCAATCCACTCTTTTTTCTATGTTCAAACCACTGCAATATGGAAAACACAAGATAAGTGTATTCAATTGATATATAATCTCCCATTTAGTTCCAAACCATTAAACCATGCATACGTATAAGCATGCATGCAGTTCAACAAAACCTAATTAATTACGATGATTCTTAATTGTTTGAAAAAGAAATTACATTAATTATACAAAAAGTAAATTAATGAAATGCAATATAAAGTAAAATTAGAGATTGTACGTACATGTCCGACCATATGAAGAACCTTTTCCAAAAGGATGGAAATAATAATGATAACGAAACAGACGGTGGCCAGAGCCCACGTTGGCGTCTGATCCAGCTCCCTGCCTCCACCCCCTCCGCCGGCCATTTATTATAATCTTCAAACCCCCAACCGCACTAGCTGGCTAGCTTTCCCTTAATTCTGTCCTTAATTATTTAATTATTAATTTACACAACAAATCAACGATGATGATCGAAATTTAAAAAAATAAAAAATAAAAAATCATCTACCTCTCTCTCTCTCTCTAGCTGTACAAAGCCAATGCGTTGAGAGGGTTGACAGGGGGTTCCTTGAAGAAGAAAAGAAGAAGAAAAAGAAGAAGAAAGTTCTTTGGTTTTTCTTGTAACGGTCTTGAACCGGAGAGATGTACGGAAGGCTGGCTGATGAACAAATGGCGGATGGCGGTTGGGAATGAAGATTGCCCGTCTTTATGGTGTGTAATTTCATGTTTGCCATTTACCCAAAAAGCATAAAACATTCCTCTTTGCCCATTGCCATCTCTGTGGTGAACCTGTTAACCGGAGTGTAAATTGGGTTTCTTTTGCTAAAAGAAGGATAGAGGCCCTACTACAGCCACGAGGGAAACAATCCAGTGATGAAAGAAATCACAAGGCATCGTCTCCACGTGTCAATCTACTATATTGTCAAATCATCACCTTCCTAATTATTTCCAACGGTGGAGAAGACATAGAGTATGCTACTTTATTTGGATTTGTTAATGCCCACTTGACAACCCTGCTAGGAGAATTTTAGGAATTAAACTAAACAAATTTAGTGAAAAACCCAAAAGAAACAAGCTCCTCTCAAACACACCCAAAATAATTTCAAATTGATGAAAAAGCCCCTTATTTTAAACATTAAAGACATGCAAGTCCTAGGCCTCTCACCTCCCGAAGACCAAAGCAACATGTGAAGTTCTTGTCTTTTTCCAACAATAGCACAATAACAGTGTCAACAACGCAGAAACAGTGCAGCAGCCCAAATTTTAAAAGTTTTGTTTGTTTATGCATGTGAAGGCATCTAAAATAGGCATGTGAATTCGTTGGATTGTATGGTGTGTGCATGTGAAGGCATCTAAATAAGGCTTGTAGTTTTCCACAATGTAAATCCATAAGGCATCAGAAGCCTTGAAGCGATAGGAGGTGGTTGTGTGTATATAGCTAGGAAGCTCCGAAGAGAGAAGTACAACACCACCAGAGAAGAAAAAATCTCAATACTTACTCCTTCAGCTTTCAATCAATAAACTCCCTTTGTTCTTATACTTTCTCTTATTCTTTTATTACACTCTTTTACTCCGACTACTGTTAATACCACCGACCACCGTTAATACCCGGTCATAACACTTCTAGCAAAAAATGCAATTAAGTAAGTCTTTTTCTCTTTTACTTTTGGTTTTCTTAGTAGACTTCTTATCCAAAACAGGGAAACACTTTTATAATAATGTTATTATCTTGCTAAACAGACGATCAATACTTTGTTTGAGCACGTGGTCATGTTTGATATTTGAAAATATAAAGTACCCAATAAAAGTACATGTAAATGTTATCTTTGTGGTGAAGTAGGACACATTAGACCTAAGTGTCCCAAATTAGGAAAGCAACCTAGAGAAAAAATACAATTAATTGAGCAATCTCAATTAGAAGATGATGAAGACTTAGAATCAATTTATAGTCTTGATGATAATATAAGTGATAATGAAAGTATTTATAGTCTTAATGTCTTAGAATCAGAATCAGAATCAGAATCAGAATCAGATTATTCTAGTAATTCCGATAGTGAATTAGATGAATATATGTGTATGTTTGAAGAACAAAAAGAGCATGAGGAATTTAAATATGTTAATTTAGGATGGCCTCAAGAATGTAATCAATGTAAAAAAAATAGTGGTAGAAAAAATATTACACTAAGACAATAGTTTATTGTAAACCTTGTTATAATAATAGACCAATGGAAATAAATACATGTTGTTGTATAGATACAGCTGCACCAAAATGGATTAAGCTGCATCCTCAACTTGTGATACTCGCAAGTGCACGAGCCGTTTGGTAGTATAGCATATGTAAGTGCGAGGTCGATCCCACGAGGATTGGTGATTGAATGATCCAATTCATTTTCCCTACACAAAACAGAAATGAAAAAGAAAGGAAATAAATACAACAAGAAAAAAAGAAATAACTCAAGCAAATAAGTTCCCAAGTTCAATTAGATTAACGGATTGATTCTATGATTAAGCCATGGTGTTTGGTCATAACCTTGTGTTCCTAATTCCCTAATTTGATCATTTGTTGTCTAACCTAAAATTAAGCATTAGGAACCCATTAAGCATAGAAGAACAATTTAAACAACCAAGCATGTATCTAATCCCTGTTGTCGAATGTCCATACATACTCTTC